AGAAACTGGGCAGGTGCCCATCGGGTAACCCACCTCCCACAGCACAGATCTGGGGATGTTTAAGAAGGAAATACAAATATTCAGTCTTTCAATGTATACTATTACTTTTTCGAACAGCTGCTAAGTTGTTAGGACAAAAATGCTTATCAAGTTGTTTGGACCTGACTACTTAAAAAATGGACTGTTAGGTGTCGCTAGGGGAATGAGGAGAAAGTCGCTGAGCCCCTCAGGGCCGCAGGAGGCGGCTGTCCTACGGTGATGGGGGTGGAGTGGGGGAAAAGCAGGCCTGGGGCCAGGAGCGCCAGACTCCAGCTCCAACTCTGCCATCAACGCCCGAATGCTCTTCAAACTGCCGTCAGCGAATCACACGGGATGGGACAGGGTGCCCTCAGCTCCGAGGCCCTGCAAGGCTGCCTGTCCTAAAGGCTGGGCTCTCTCCTCCAGGCGGGACACGCCCACCCGATCCTGGAGAAACCCACAGTTCTCCCAGTAAGGCCACGTGCCGTGCCAGGTGCCGAAAGGAGACACCGAGATCCCATCGTCAACTGAGGCTCAAAAGGCCAATGCTGAGGTAGCTGCCCCATCTGACCAAACAGGCAGGGTTAATTTATGCCCAAACCTCCACTTCAGAATCCACAGAGACAACAGTGAGTATCCGTCACGCAAGTGGCCATTCAATGTCATTTTCGTATTTTTTGTAATACCCGATTTTTGTGCCTTGTTTACAATACCATACTGTCTCTGAGAAGTATTCCGGTTACTAAATATTTGGTTAAATGCTCCAGAGCAACCATGTGGGAATCTTCGGGAAACTGAAGAGTCCCTCCCAAGAGGAAAGTTGGTAAGTGTCAAATAACGATTTGTTTAAAGTACAGTATGCTTATGCAAACAGGAGATCTCCTGGACAGTCACCAACTCAGCCGTTTCAAGTGCCTTTTCAGCACCGTCCAGGGCACCAGAGGGGTCCAGTCTTCCCCAGGGAGGAGTCTGCTCTCCGTTTCTTTCTACTAAGTGAAAACGGACACATAAACCCTAAGTCCAACAGGAAGAAACCATGGAGTCTCTTGCTACGGTAACAAAACCAGGAATAGGAAACTTCCCATTTCCCATTAATTTTCACCAGCTGACCTAATAAAAATCAGTTGATTCACACCTCTAAGCAATATTCTTACTTTCTGGGTGATTATTCACCACACGGTTCAAGTTCAAAGTGGCATTTTATTTTGGAAACAAGCGGTATATATGAGGCTGTAATAATAACACAAGCTGATTAAATCTAAACTTGAAACAAAACAAAAAATTGCCCTTATTACTGATCAAAAAAGCAGATACACAAGAAACGCTGAAGGTTGACAAAAACAAACATAGATATTAACAGAAAAGTGGCATAAAGACTACTGTAAATTATCCTGAAAGGATTGTTAAGTAACATTTTCCATAAAAACAATGCAGTAGGGAGTGAGAGGGAACTCTGGTTTAATAAGAACATATTTTCTCTCAAAGCATGAAACCTGTTTAAAAAGACATGAATGAGGGGATGGAAGGGGCAGCCATCAGGCCAGCGGGAGGCCGGGGAGAGTGGAGGAGGGTCTCAAGGGAATTAGATTCCAGAGACCCCAAGGGGCAGGAGGAGGGCAGCAGCAGTATTTCAGTGGCTATTATATTAATTAGAAATATATGAAACTTGACACAGCAAGAGTGCAGTGCATGAAATCCATGGCAAAACACTGTTAATTTCCTCCACAACGGGTACCATGAACTCAGGGACCCTCTTGTCTCTGTCCCCTCCTGAGAGCTAAGGGGTGCAGTTCTTAATCAGCACATGTGCTGGCCCAGTGTCCAAGCATCAGCGTGAACCTCAGAGGAACACAGACCTGCAGACGGAAACAGGGCAGCCAGCCGTCCTCCTCCTGCAAGGAGGGGACGCAGGGGGCTTCAGACGTCTGGCAAGAGAACCTTTGCAGAACAGACCCAGATACACTGCAGTTCCCCAAAAGGCGAGCTTCTGTTTTATCTTAGAACTTAGGCAGGACGGGTAAGGCCGAGAGAAATCCTTTATGACGGCAGGACACACCAGTCCACCAGTGTCGGCTGGCCACAGTGGGCTTTTAAGTGGTCAAGCATGAGCCACCAGACTGCTTTAAGCCAGTGTCTGTCCTAAAGGGATGGAGAAGATGAGAAGACCTACTAAGATAATTCCATCAATCAGTTCATCTGTGGGAATGTGCAAAAGAACACTGATTCACCAGCATACAGTTTCTCCACAGGATTTTATTTCTTGACGTGGCCGTCCTCCCCGACCTCCGAGCCAGCATCGTGGACACGTGCCCGTCCCATCCCACCCCTCTCCCAAGCCCACCCCGCTCCCCACACACACACACCACGCCTGCTCTCCAGACACACCACCCTAACTCCCTGTTCCCAGGTCCACGGCACACAAACGCTGTCAGAGCTGCTGTTTAGGGCACATGCCCTATGTTTTCAATGAAATTACTAGAAGTAGTCGTTTCTGACAGTATTTAATAACCACCTATATAACACATGCTACTTTGCTTCAATTAACTACTCTGGAATCCATCGGTTTAGAGAAAACTTCAAAACAAATTAGGTTTTTCACTAGTAACAAGTAGCAGCATCCCTTTTAACCATTAAAATTTAGGGGCAACTGGATGCAAAAACGCAGAAGCTTTCTTGAGGGAGATATTGCATGATCTTTCTTGAGGGAGATATTGAAGACTGGCTAAACGGCTTTCTGAGTAGAAAAACAAGACCTGTAAAAGCGAAGGAAGTGGAGTTGATGATATAAACGCCCTTTCACCCTGTACACGCAAACTTCACATAAAAACTTACTTGCCAATATTTTCAGGCAGAGACTGCAGTGAGATGTCATTTACAGAAAGACATGTCAAATTCTGCAATTCGGGAAAGCTTTCTGGCAATCTAAAACAAACAAAAAAAATTGTTGTTATAGTTGAAAAAGAGAAGTGCATATATGGTGTATACTAATATAAAGATTTCTTCTGTATGCTGACTGAAATAACCTCCTAAAATTACTTTATGTATGGCACATTTGTCTTGTCTTTCTATTTATAAGGAAAAAAATAAGGACTTGGTCTACCTAGCAGTACAGGGGTATGATAAATACTTGCTGACAGGGTGATCCAGAAATAATTAGAGAGGAAAGATATTCAAGCTGTAAGAATAAAGGAGAAACAATGTTGGGAGCCTACCAAGTGTATGGCTATGAAAGAAAATGATACATAGTTCCTGAAGCTGAAAGTGCCTAAGAGTGAAAATACTTTATTGATTAACAGAAAATAGAAATTTTAGTCCACAATATTATAATAAAACACAAGACAGTTGCTTGATTTATTTTTCTTCCTGTAGCTTATAATACCAGGAGCAAAGATACGGATTACTCACAATTGATCAGCTGACAGCCAATTGCTACTTTCTTAATATTTTTCTTTTGATTTGATTTAATATGCCAATCATGTGAGATGATTATATGTTTCACAACGTTCTACACAAAGAGAAATTCTGTATACTTCCCTTAGACTACTGAAGGGCGAGGATTCAAAATAAAAGTATTATTTAAATACCTGAAAAGCAAGTTTACTTTCAATATTTCTATGGTTACTAGTATTTGGAGAGGAAAAAACACAAACTGAAAGCAAAAAAAATCTCATTGCATCTAAAATGCTTATACATAAATCTGCTAAGATGGAGAAAAGAACACATAACTCATTTTTTTGCAGGGGGTGGTGAGGACTTTTTGCCTTAGTGATAGTCTCTAGATTAGAATCTTTCATTTCTTTCCTCTTTCTAGGTTCCTTTTTTAAAAAACAATTCCTATGCTGTTTGACATCTAATACCGGTAATTCGAAACTTCAAAACCAAATCCAGGCCCCGAAAGACGAAAGTATTAACTAGGATTTTCATAATCGATGAAATACATTCTCAGGAATGGTTTTTACGAAGTTGCAACCTATTCCATAGTGTAATAGAGCTAAGGTTTTTTAAATTTATATTTCAAAAGATGCAACTTAACGGTTCTGAGTTTTTACCAGAAACTATATATAATTTTAAAACTAGCTAAAATGATCATAAATATAAGGAAAGTGTATCTTTAAATGGCTGATTTGCTTTTTTCACTGGCTCTTAACATTAAGAGCCAAACTAGTGATGTGACCCGATGAGGAAGGCCAGACTTAAGGTCGGGAGAGAGGAAAGCTAGTCTGAGCTGCTGCTCAGAGGCTGCATGATCTTGAAAGGTCATTTCACCTCTTGGAGCCTCAGTTTCTTCAGCCATAAAATCACTAGGCCACGCTGAATAATTTTTAAGGTCCCTTCAACTCACAGACATCGTCTTAATTCTTAAAAGAGCACACCTGCCAAATTAAAACGGCTTTCCTTTAAGAAACCTGCCAAAAACAAGTCCAAGGTGAAAACTGAGTAAGGCCTCATACAATGCAGTGTGTTCTGGTCAAGAGAGTTTTAAAATGATGATAAAGCCACATATTAGCAGACATTAGGGGAAAAACACTAAAGAAGTAGACAAGGGGATTAAGCAACTGAAGAGTTAACAAAAAAAACTCCAGAACAGCATATTTCCCAGCTGCCCAACCCTACGAGCTGCCTTGAGCACAAATAGCTCAGTTCAGTTCAACAAACACTGAGGGCTCACTCCATTCCAGAAAGTACAGTAGGGCTGCAGATAGAACCATAAATGACAGAGGAATACATCTCATTGGCGGGCCTTGGTCAAAGTGATCATTTACGTGTAGGTTTCGAGTGTTATGAGAAAAGTACGCAGAGAGGGTTACAGGGCCCAGAGGAGGGGCCGCGGGGAGTCGTCAGGAAAGGCCCCCTGAAGAAATGTGATGCTCAGGCTGCATCTTAAAGGAGAGCGAAAGGGTTGGCACAGTCAAAACGAGGGGGAGTGAAATCAGAGACCTGGAGCCCTTTATTACAGAGGACACAACATCAGACAAGGCAATTGAGGGCCATGCACGTGGAAAGGACGGCCAAGGTCAGACAGAGGGCGGGGGGGAGGCGGTTGGAGGCTGCACAGCACACCAGGAACTCCCACTTGATCTTACAGGGTCGGGGAGCTACAGAAAGGTTTGAGAAAGAGGGACAACCGTATGGATGATGGTTAAGAAAGAGGACGAGACGTGACAACGGTGGTGAATTAGAAAGCTATCAGCCCAGAGCCTACTAGAGTACTATTTTTCATAAAAATAAACATTACTAGTAACATAATAACTAAAATTCAAAAGACAAAAACCAGAAGTGTTTTTAAGACATATTTATACTTCTTAAAAATAAGCAGATACAGGAAAAACAAAACGAAATAGGGCATTCCCCAGCACTCCATACCCAAGAAGATCCAAGCAATTTTGGGACAGATGAAATGAATCCCAAATTTTAACTCAATCTCAATTTTTCTAGACGCTTTAAAAAAAAAAAACCAAAAAAGGGGAATGAAAAGGAAAGGAAGAGTACTTTCCTTTCTTCGAGGTTGCTTACGGAGTCTTGAGTAATTTTATAAATGGGCCCACCTGGCCCAGAGATACATCTAGAATGGACTCTGGAGGGCTGGTCCCTGCATTGCTGTTTGGGCATCAACTCAGTTACCCTGGCAACACAGGCGCCTGGAATCCACTGGTCAGTGGTCTCATGACTGAGCCAGGAGCCACAGGAGGGGCTCCCGACGTCCCCATGTTCAAAAAAGGGTACCCTTAGTACTATGGACAGAAAAGCAAGCAGAAAGGTTACCTAGTCAGTGGGTTTCCGCTGAAGTCAGCGATCTGTAGTGCTTTACAGAATGAGATGCTCTCTGGAATTTCAGGAATATCTGCAGAAGGAAAGAAAATGTCTATCACTGACCACCACTGTTAACAGTTTTCATCATCCTCAAGATGGACCACAGTCGCAAGGGAATATCTACCAAGTACTAACTCTGCTCAAACATGGCATGGATTCCTAAAGTACTTTTCTACATTTATTTTACATTTGCTTTCCTAATATAAGATATATTCTAAACAGAAGCACGTTCAAGAAAAACATAAAAAACAACCACCCCCACCAACTCCCATCACCTCATCAAAAGTCACTGAGCGCATTCGGTTGTAATTCCCTTTAGGCTTTATTTCCCCTATGTTTTCATATGGTTATATCAGTACAAAGTATTCTAAAGTATGCATTTTAAAATTATGGAATTTCTTCTGATTATAAGCATATTTGGAAAATACAGAAAACTCCAGTGAAGAATAAAAAACCACCAACATTCCCATCACCCAGAGACAATATTTTATTCTGATGTATGTTTTTAATTGTCAGACACACATACAGAGTGTGTGTATAAATAGATCATATTTCAAAATACTAGGTTCATGCTTCACTTTATGTTATTTTACAAACTTTTTCCCCTGTCATTATTTTTCCAAATAGTTTCCCATTCTTAGTGGCACAAAAGCCCACTGCACACATTTTCATATTTCATGTAACCAATCCCCAGTTGTTGGACATTTAGGTTGTTTCCAAGTTCCTAACGTTATAATTATATTTATGTCCATTTCTGGCTATTTCCTTAGGCTAAGCTCCCAGAGTGTAATCACTGTGTCAGAGGCACTAACACCTCTGCAGCACTTGACAAATACTGCTAAATTGCCTTTGAGGGGGCAAGGTACACCTTTATACTTCCATCACCCGATTCAACATCTTTCCCTTCTTCCTTTCTTTCTCTTACATTTGAAAAACTGCCCATGTTATTGGTAAAATAGTCTGGCAACATTTTCTTTTATATTCCTTTGATTACTAATGAGGCTGAATATTTTTCCCCACGTTTACCTGCCACTAAACATTGCGATTCTTGAAATGACCAAAAATGCTATTTTAAATTCCTCTTTCTCTTGGTTTAAACCCTGAGGTTACAGCTTTCAGGGCTGGAAAAGTTTAGTTCATAGCATTTAATTTCAAGAATACATTTATTTTGGACGTACTAATGTTAAGAAGGGCTAAAATAGAAAAGGCTCTCTTGGTCCCATGCCATTTCTTCCACCAGCTCGACAAAGGCAAGCAGAGCCAAAACATACCAAATATTTCTAAATTGGGGGTGAAAAGGAGACGGGAGAAATAAAGGGAAAAATAGATGCCCTGCTCCAACACCACAAAGTAATCAGATGCTACATAAAAGCTCCAAGTACAAATTTAAAAGCTTCAAATATTTAAATTTGTGGTAACATTTGCCTCACACAATTCTCTGCCTTGCATGGTCGTATAAGGTAGTGAAGAATACATACTATTAATGATCCTAATTTCATAAATATGATAGCAGTATATACACACATATATATATACACATACACACATATATATACACACACATATACACACAAACATACATATATACATACATATGTACACACATGTGTGCGTGTATGTGTCTACATACATGTTGCATGCATATATACACATACATACATACACACTATATATATATGTGTGTGTATATATATATATGGCTTATCCACATTAAGAATGAACTAGTGAATATAACAAAAAAGAGGTGGACTCACAGCTATAGAGAACAAGCTAGTGGTCACCAGTTGGGTGGGGGGCAGTATAGAGGGAGGGGAGCAGGAGGTACAAACTATTAGGTATAAAATAAGCTACAAGGATATATTGTACAACCCAGGGAATAGAGCCAATATTTTATAATAACTATAAGTGGAGCATAAGCTTTAAAAACTGTGAATAACTATATTGTACACCTATAACTTATACAATGTTGTACATCAACTAGACTTCAATCTTTAAAAAAAGGAAAAGACAAAAAAAAAAAGAAGGAACGAACAAAGGTACATCCATCCATCATTACAGGACCAGCACGGCTATCCAGGGTGTGAGGCCTGCCCAGGTAAAAGATGCTGGTCAGCCCTGCACTCCTGATTGTCCCTCCTCGGCCACCACTTCAGGTCCTAGTGAGCAGTTTATATAAGGCTGAAAAAAGAGGTGCAAGGGCTGCACCCGTCACCTCACAAGTGCTAGGGAAGATCAAGCTGACACCCACACACACACTGTACAGCAGCTTTCTGCTTGATCTGAGGAAAAGATCAAGGAAACAGAGAAAGAGGAAAGGCATATCAATTTGGTAGAAGTCTTTAATATTTCTCAGAGCATCAGAAACATCCCTGAAGCTCAGGAAGATGGGCCTACCAAGGAACACATGAACTCTGGTCGGGGCTGGTCTGGAGTCAGGGTATCTGAGGGTAACAACAGCAATTGCCAGAGAACACAGCTGGACCCAGTCCAGACAGAGCTGCCTTGTAGGAAGACATTCCATCCCTAGGCAAACCTGCTTGTACACAAGATCGGCAAACAGAACATAGGTCTCAACTCCAAAGACCATTTCTTTCTACCATACGCATGTTGCTAACTTAACTGAAAAGAAGGTATTTGCCTGTAAAAATAAGAGCTTTAGACAAGGAAGGCAACAGTGTGGCTAGAAGAGTCCTGCTTACTGGTTTGCTTTAAATTACTAAAAATATCAGAGCAGAAAACTAAGGAAGGGAACGTCTGTTCCTTCTTAAATACTTAGCTAAAATATCACACCCTCAGGGACACCTCCTTTGGGCCCCAAGATTCGTTTGGATCCCCCTGCTCTCAGGTTCCTGAAATCTGTTACAGTTTTAATTAAATAACTGTTTGGTGATGGTCAACCTCCCTTATTGAACTCTAGGCTCACTGGGAAGAAAGACCATGTGGGCCTTGTCTGTTGCTGTTTCCCCAAAGCTGACATAGTACAGTTGGCCTACAGGTTCCACATCTGGGAATTCGACCAACTGTGGATCAAAATATTTTAAAAAATATTCCAGAAAGGTCCAAAAAAAGCAAAACTTCAATTTGCCTCATTGGGCAACTATTTACATAGTATTTAAATTGTATTTACAACTATTTGCATTGTAATAGGTATTATAAGTAATCCAGAGGTGATTTAAAGTATATGGGAAGATATGCAGATTTATATGCAAATACTATGCCATTTTACATAAGGGATTTGAACATCCTCGGATTTTGGTTATTTTGTCCTCCACGGAGGCCGAGGGGTGACTGTACTAAGCTTAAACAGCCCACGGGTACTGAATGAATAAATGAGAAACTCACATTGCTAAATCTCTGCAAAGACAGTTGCTCTCTAATCTGAGTCATGAAATATCCCCTGTAGGGTGGGTATTATCTCTGTTTTACTAGTATGAAAACTGCTTGGTCCCAGATCTCTTACAAGAGATAGTATAAAGCCTGCAGGTTATTCCCAGCTGAAATCCCCTTTAACTGTCTTCCAAGTGTTTTGCTCTGGACAAATGTGAGGTTTAAGACTAAACATATGAAAAACTATAGACAAAAACCACTTCTCAATGAGGCCAAGGCTGACCACCAACCTCTTCCGCATTTACGAGGTCTGCACCCTCGGATAAACTATTTAACCTACCTGTGCCTAATTTCCTTATCTGTAAAATGGGTCATCAACAGATATTTTCAAATAATGTCAATATATCATACCTTAAGTGCTGCAGAAGTTCAGAGAAGGGAGAAAATGAAACAAAGAAGGACACTTGTGCTTTGAACCAAATAAATAAGAGTAGAGGAGCAGCATAGGCAGGAATGTGACACTGGATGCAAAGTGGGGAGAGGGTAGCCCCTGGGCACAGTTTGCCTGAACTTCAGGATATCAGTTTGGGGGTGTCTGGAGAGGAGCCGGAGAAATCTATTGACAGAAGACTACCGATGCCAGGCTGAGCTGTTTACAACTAATTTGCCAGACAAGGAGTTTCCTCTTCTCTAAAAGGGGGATAATCACAGCTCCAGCTTAGGGTTGCACAAGAATAAAGGAGAGTCACACAAATAAAAGCACATGGTACACTCCACTGGACCTCTTTTTTATACTGGGTGGGGGATCAGTAGAGAGGACCACTATTTTCCATTCAAAGCCAAATAATTTTTTTATTGAAATATAACTGACTTACAATGTTGTATTAATTACTGCTGTACAGCAAAGTGATTCAGCTATACATATATATATTCTTTTTTTATATTCTTTTCCATTATGGTTTATCACAGGATATTGAATATAGTTCCCTGTGCTATACAGTAGGACCTGGTTGTTCATCCATCCTACGTATAATAGCTTACATCTGTTAACCCCAGCCTCCCACTCCATCCCTCCCCCAACCCCCTCCCCCTTAACAACCACCAGTCTGTTCTCTATGTCCGTGATTCTGTTTCTGTTTCATAGATGGGTTCATTTGTGTCGTATTTTAGATTCCATGTATAAGTGATATCATATGGTGTTTGTCTTTCTCTGTCTGACTTACTGCACTCTAGTATGATAATCTCTAGGTCCATCCATGTTGCTGCAAATGAAGGCCAAATAATTTGAAGAGTGGCGTTATTAATAGAGATGAGAGGCCTGAGGGGGCTTTTGCTTCTATCTGAGAAGGAATAAAACCCTGAATGAACATCTATTTACATACAAATATTAGAAATAACTCATGAGGTTCTCCTCTCATTAAAGAAGGTACCCCCAAACTTATAACTGCCAACATTCAGCTTAGTTCAAGCTTCTATGTAAGGTGAAACAAAAAAAATCTTTACTCATATTTTTCATGTATTTAAACTGGCTTTGTCTTACATACGTCCAAGAATAAAAGCATAAAATTTGATATTTACGAAATGTCTGAAAATGATCGTAAAATTAAGTAATCTCTTCCCTACAATTTTCTTAAGATAACCTTCAATTCAGACCCACTCTAAACTACCATCATTTCTGAATCAGAATTGCTTTGTTAGTGAGAT